ATTACTATTATCATTGACATCAAAGGAATTTAGATATGCAGGTTCTTTGCCTTTGCCTTTTTTATCCGCAAAAGCGCCCATCTTTCGCCTATAGATTTTTAAAACGTATTAATAAAATATTTAAATTATGCGCCTTAAATCAGACAATTAAACACCTTTCGCAAGTCAGACATAAGCATTCACAATTGTTATCACCAAAATAATCCGTTCCATAGGAACAGGTAATTTCTTCGCCTATTTCAATGTCTCTTAGGACTTGAAAGGAGACAATATGCCGAGATCCTTGTATATAAAACTGTTATAAAATAAAATTTAGAAAAATTCCCAATCTAAAGTAGCAAGCAAAAAATATCAAATAATAACTTACTTCGGTATTCGGATCACAATCATGCTAGTATTATATACGGTTAATAATTAATGCCGAGAATTACATATTATAAAAAAGGAATAGATCCATCTCACATTGACAAAGCGACCAGGTCCAACATAAATGGAACTTCTTTTTTTACGCTCTGAGGCGATTATGGAAAAATCTTTTTCATCATCCAACTTTGATTCCTCTTCCTTGGTTAGTTCGACTAGAATTCCATTGCAATATCGTATAATCTCGCCTTTAGTCCAACGTTTAGTCGCGAGGATACATGCCTCTGCTTTTTTAGAATTAGCATAACGCAATGTTTCCCCTAGCTCAAACCCGGCATCTGGGTGGTACATGTTTAGGTATCGTTTTAAATGCCTAATATTTTAAGAAATCACAAGTTAAATCAATAAATTATTATATTTCTTTATTACTGATACTTACTCAAAAAAGGCTTTGGCCTGTTTTGATGGCCTTCTTGTGTTTAGATCGAGATCAGGTAGTCGCTCTTGGAAGACTTTTGACCTATATTTTGAATATATTAATAACCAACGAAGAAACGAGCGACTAAGCATTAAAAACTTCGGTGCACTTATATTAAAGATGCCTACTTTGAAAGCATTTGAGCTGCAGCGTCACCTTTATCCGGATTAGCAATAATGAATCTAAGCGTTTGAAAGACCGTATTATACGCGTCTTTTGAGGATTCATTGTTCGGATCAATAGGTTTATATTGAGAATCCATTTTGTGTGTGTTAAACCTATATACATATATATATATATATTGGACAACCAAATGCGAAACGTAATTTTTTAGATTTGTGTGGAATTTCGCAGAAAGACGCGTAATTATTGACTGTATACCATAACTCTACTTTATCTAACAAAAGATCTGTACACAAGTCATCATATTGAACGATCGTGCTATAGTCGACCATCTTTACTAATAATAAAATAAATGAGAATTTCGTTAGGTTTTATATATGCTTTCCGCATGTATCGCGTTTTTTAGAAAAAGAAAGGTATTTTTACTCGTAATGATGACTTACGATATCTTTTATCTATAAATTAATTGTAGTTTAATAAATAATTAGTCAGATATTATAATTTTTCGCGTAAAGGAACGCTCGTATGTTACTTGTCGCGTAAATTATTCGAAAACTAAATATGTTATCTGGATAAACTAACTTGAATCCGTTTAATGTTTTTGTGTTAGAATTTATCCTTATTTAAGGTACTCGTTGTGACTGAAGGATTACTCCAAATGGTGTAAAGACGGAAGTTAGAAAGCGAAAAGATGGCATAAAAAATTCCTACGAACGACTGTCTATTTTTGGAATAATTAAATCATAATTACAGTTTCCAGAAAATGTTCGGAATTTGATCGTCATATTGATCATGTGACATGAGCCAATCACTTTTTTTAACGAAATAGGAAATAATATAATATCAAAGACTCGCTTTCAGGACTCTCAAAGGGCATACACAATATTAATAATATTAATGTTATGACATGTGCAAATACTTACAATAGCGAAATTCAAGATACGAACACATGATATACAAATTTAAAATAAAAGATCAAGAGTTAATCCTCCTTTACTGCAATGCTAAAGAATATTGTTTGTCAATTTAAAGTTTAATGGCAAATGAACACAAAAAAACGAACGAAATTTAGGTAGATTACATTTTATTGGCTCGCCATTGTATTATTATTATTATCGCGCTAATTTTGATATTTTACGAATGAGAGTGCAATATTTATATAAAATCACCCTAAAAAAATATATCTTAATATTTTCTGTTCAGATTTCAATACCTGTGTATTCCATGTCTTGAATTTCTCTAATTATCTCACTATTGCAAGTGTCCATACCAAACAATGTTGTGTGTATTTGGGTGTAAATTATATTAGAAATTCTAATACAATTTACATCGTTTCTATTGCGCTTGTGATTTAGGATATGGTGAGTCTATATCTTTTTTGTATAAAAATTGTTATTTCACAGATATTTTTAAATCGTGACTTGACGCCGATCAAATTTTCGACCTTCTGATCTACATTGTAGTAAATCATTAAACGTTAGCGTTAATTAAATAGACAATAAAAAGTATTCGATGGTAATTTGAAGTCTCTTCATTTAAAGCTTCATTATTTATTACAAGGGGGTTTCATATACAATTGAACTTAACATTAATAAAATCCCTCCTATAAGGGCATGCGACTAGAAATTAAGGTACCTTCAATTTTTCACCTTCAGGAAATTTTTTTTGGATTCTCTTTTTTTGATTGACTTTTATTATAGCGCAAACTTTTTGCTCGTTCTGAACGCGTGAAATGCGTGGATTTTCACCCCACAGAACCGTGGCTGCTTGCAAGCTTATATAATGGGAATGTATACATTTGGAACTATGAGACTCAGGTAGACAAACATTTTATATTGAACAAAAATTAAAGATTATGTAATTTGATCCAATTAATTTTTTCATTAGGCTTTAGTAAAGACTTTTGAAGTTACAGATGTCCCAGGTATTGATTAGATCATGCGGTAATTAATTCCATCCCTTAGTACATTGTTGACTAAATGATATTTCTATTGATTCAGTTCGTGCTGCGAAATTCATTGCACGCAAGAATTGGCTCACCACCGGTTCTGATGATATGCAAATACGCGTATTTAATTATAATACGCACGAAAAAGTGGCTACCTTTGAAGCCCATCCAGATTATATCCGTTGTATCGCTGTCCATCCAACACAACCATTCATTCTTACTGGATCCGATGACATGACCATTAAATTATGGGATTGGGAAAAAGGATGGAAATGTGTTCAGGTAAAAAAAAATAAATTTGTAATCTCTCATTCATTCGTCAAAGAAATCTGTCAAATTTTATCATTAAAACTTACTTGTTCAGGTATTTGAAGGTCATACCCATTATGTTATGAATATCAACTTTAATCCAAAAGACTCCAACACATTTGCTTCCGCGTGTTTGGATCGTACAATCAAAGTTTGGTCACTTGGCTCTCCCGCAGCCAATTTCACACTCGAGGGTCATGATAAAGGTGTCAACTGGGTAGATTATTATCATGGCGGTGAAAAACCATATCTTGTTTCAGCGGCTGACGATAAACTAGTCAAAATTTGGGATTATCAGAATAAAACTTGTGTTCAAACTTTAGAAGGGCATACGCAAAATGCTGCTTTCGCTTGTTTTCATCCTGAATTGCCAATCATAATTTCGGGTAGTGAGGATGGCACGGTAAAAATATGGCACTCAAATACCTACAGATTGGAGAATACTCTTAATTATGGGTTAGTACGTGCTTGGACTGTTGCATATCAGAAAGGCAATAATAATGTCGCTTTTGGGTATGATGAGGGTGCAGTTTGTGTAAAGGTAAGTGTTTAATTAACCAAAATAAATTCAAAGGAGATTTAATTAATTATCTCAATTTTTTTTTAGTTGGGCCGAGAAGAACCAGCTGTAAGCATGGACAATTCAGGGAAAATCATTTGGGCAAAACATAATGAAATACAGACAGCAAATGTAAAGGCTGGCCATGGTTCATATTTACGATTATTATCAACTTGTGACATTCTAAATATTAAGCATGAATTTAGAAATGATTTTTCATTTTATTGGCTTCAGATGATAACATCAAAGATGGCGAACGTCTTCCACTGCCTGTGAAAGATTTAGGCAGCTGTGAGGTTTATCCACAGACACTTCAACATAGTCCAAATGGAAGGTTGGTCTATTTAAAATTAATCGGTATTAATTATAATGCCTTATTGAAATGACCTCATTTTATAGATTTGTTGTAGTATGTGGCGATGGTGAGTATATCATATATACGGCTTTAGCATGGAGAAATAAGGGCTTTGGAAATGGTTTAGAATTTGTCTGGGCATTAGATTCTAATGAGTAAGATTATTCTTCTGTCACCACTTAATTTTGTTACGTTTTAATGATTGTAATAAATTTCCTCCTCATTAATATAGATATGCTGTGCGAGAATCTACGACCAAAGTCAAACTCTATAAAAATTTCAAAGAACGTCAAAATGCTATCAGGCTTAATTTCCCTGCTGAAGGAATTTATGGAGGCACACTCTTAGGTGTAAAAAGCTCCAGTTTTCTTAATTTATATGACTGGGAAACTGGTCACGTTGTGCGAAGAATTGACGTTATACCGAAAACTGTGAGCTTTTATTGAATGAACGTTTGTATTATTGTCTTTAATGCTACATATCTTAAGTTTCATTTCCCTTGATAGGTGTATTGGAGTGATGCGGGCGATCTCGTCACTATAGCTTGCGAAGATACTTTTTACGTCTTGCGGTTTAATCGTCAAGCCTATATACAATTTATAGAAAATGGAGGGACAGTAGGGGAAGAAGGAGTCGAGCAAGCCTTTGAATTTGTAACTGAAATCCCTGAAAGGTTCGTACAATAGGTTTTTGGAACTTTTAAGAATAAAATTAATATGATCCTTATTCGTCTTTAGCATCAAGACGGGAACATGGATCGGTGATTGCTTCATATATACAAATGCAGTTAATCGTTTGAATTATCTTGTCGGCGCACAAACTTTCACAATCAGCCATTTCGACACGTTAGTATATCATAATGAAATTGTTCATAACTCTAAGAATAATCAAGTTAAAATTAATTGGCGTTTTCAAGAAACATGTATCTTTTAGGTTATATTCCAAAAGACAACCGGATATATCTAGCCGATAAAGTTTGTTTTAATTATATATACTTGAGTGATTTGGAAGTCAATTATAGATATATCTTTAATGTTTGTCTGTTTGTGTTTATAATAGGATGTTAATGTATATAGTTATACGCTGTCCTTAACGGTGATCGAGTATCAAACTGCTATCTTACGTGGTGATCTTGTAGCAGCCGAAGAGCTTTTACCCTCGATTCCTGATGATCAACGCAATCGGATTGCTCGGTTTTTAGAAAGTCAAGGTTTGAATAATAAAAGATATCGCTTGATTGTAAATATATATATATATATACCTTGGAAAAACATGTGAATCATTTCATTTGTTTTTAGATTTGAAAGAACTCGCGCTAGAAGTCTCTACTGATGTTGAACACAAATTCGAGCTCGCAATACAGCTTGATAAATTGGATATAGCTGTAGAAATCGCTAGAGAAGTCAATTCAGAAGCTAAATGGAAAGCAGTTGGTGATTCTGCCTTAAGTTCGTGGAAGGTATATTACATTCACGAATTGTATTGTGATTTTCTTTTCTTATGCTATTTTAATGTTTTCATATCATTTAGTTCTCATTGGCAGAAGAATGCTTAAAAAAGGCTAAAGATCAAAGTGGGCTATTACTTCTATACAGCGCTTCAGGAAATGCTAAAGGAATAAAAGAGCTAGCTGAGACGGCTGGTATGTGTATTTTTTTTTTGTACATTTTTTTTGCAGCACGAATTCCATTAGAGATACTAAAGCATTCAATACATGTCAAAAGCCTCCGACGGCAAGAACAATATTGCGTTTGCGTGCTACCTACACCTCGGTATGGTTGAGGAATGTATCGATCTTCTTATTAAGACTGATCGTATTCCAGAGGCAGCGATGTTTGCAAGGACTTACCTCCCGAGGTTAGTTATACTACATTTACAAAATCGATTCCTTTTGTTTTAAACCCAATTTAGCAGGTTTAAGTATTTGTATTTTAGTCAGGTTTCGCGAGTCGTAAAACTATGGCGAGAAAGCCTTGAAAAACAAAATAAAAAGAAAGCAGCGGAAGCTTTGGCAGATCCCGCTGATTATGAAAATCTTTTTCCTGACTATAAACATGTAAGCGGTGGCTTTTTTTTTTTTGATTACAAATAAATGAATTTCATCCAGACATTCGTTCTTGACAAATTCTGCATATAGGCATTGATTGCTGAGGAACTTTCAAAAAAGACAAGGAATAATATAGTTCCCGCTACAGCATATTCAGCATATAAAGATGGTCTGGAACAAGATATTATAGCAGGTAAGTTGACAATATGATAGAATATTATTTCACCTGGTTTAATAACAATTCTGGTGCATCAATACAGATGTCAAAGAAAAATATCCGGATGGAGTATTATTGCCATCAAATCCATCTTCCCCTCTACAAAATAGATTAGTTAGTAGCATTGCACGGAAAAGTGTGAATGGTGACTTTGATGATGAGGTGCGTGTTCTCGTGTATTACTTTGGTTAATTTCAGTTTTGAGAACAATAATTAATCTTTTCCTCGCAGGTTTTATCATCAGTTGCCTCCGTAGATGATGATCGCATAAGTGTGGCTGATAATATGAGTCTTTTGAGCATGGAGGGTAAGAATGAATTTTTCAACTTATCTTTTAATTTTCGCTCTATAAATTAACCTTTTACGTTTCACATTTTTTAAGTTAACACAACAGGAACGGGGTCCGTTAGGGTATGATCTCAGTTAAATATTGTTTATTTTGTGGCAAGTTTTATTATTAACTTTTGAATAATCAAACAATAGGGTGATGTTGATTTCGATGACAATTCTTCACTCGCAACCTCGGAACAAGAGAGACCTATGGAGAATCTTGTAGAAGAAAAAGATTTGAATGAGTTTTTGTCTTGAGAAAAAAAATTTATGTTATCTTTTTATAGAATTTGACATATCAAACTATTCGAGTTCATATACATAAAAATTTGTTTGCAACAAAAAATATTTATTCTTCAATAATTTATTTTTTTCCCTTATCGATGCATCCATTATTAATATCATACCTATTATTGTGTCTAGTTTATTATTCGTTACATTATATAATTCATAGCAAACTAATCAATATTATCCGTAGAATCTTCCTTCGTCGATAAATGGTTCACAATTTCCCGACCCATAAAAGTCGGCTTCATCAGTTAAACCTAATCCACCTGGCATACCACCACTCAGAGCCAAGTGTTGCTGCACACGAAACAAAAATTTCCGTTAGATTCAATTTGTATCGCTAATAAGATTAAACATAAGCTACTTACCTTTGATAGATATTCCTTACTGCATGCAATCAAATGATCAGTTTTTAACACACGTTGATTTACAGCAGCTGCTTGTGCAATATGCGCCTCGATTTTAGTAATTGTGAGTGAAGTGTTATATCGGTCAGGGTTATCATGGAAGGAAACCATGCCATTTTGATGTGAATGACTAATTGTGGCAAATATTTCACGAGTTTCAATCTAAGAAATAACAAGAATGAGTTTTCTCGTCATTTAATAATTTTAATATTCCTCAACATGAATAATTTACCATCCGTAAAATGTAATCTTCAGCAATTAAAGATGCATTTGGCCCTTCTAATCCAACAGTATCTGCAATGTCCGCCAATGATAATGTCAAATAAGTCTGAGTAAGCTGTTGAATCTTTTGGCGAAAGATTGCTTCCATAGATTGTTTAGCAAGGCCAAGATTCTTGTCCTATTATTAAAAATCATATTTAAATTATTTATATGAAGTGGATAATAGAAAGGATCGAGCAATGCAAAAAAAAATATACCCTTTTGAAAACATCGGCACATTTCTGCAATTCATTACGCACACGTTTCACGTTTAAACTTTCGAAGGCAGCCGCGAAGTCTTGATATGGTTGACAATAGTTCTTTACTGCGCGTATTACTACACCAGAAGTGTATTTTGGCAAAGATACAATCTTTATACAACAGTAATAAATTCTAAGTAAAATTACCAAATTCTCAAGTTATCCTCGACTAAAACAAATACCTTTCCATATAAATACAAGGAAACCAACGCATATTTTTTGTAGGCTTCTAACTGAACAGCACTTGTCACAGCAGCAGGTGCTGATATAACCTATTTGACTTCATATTGTTAACAAGAATATAATCCTTAGACTTGATATTAGAAAATATAAATGCTCTTACCAGTCGAAAGAAATATAAAGCACGATCATAATTTTTCAAGCCAATATACACCATGCCACCATAATAATGATATAAAAGATGATCCAGATAATTAATACCCGTCAACTAAAAAGAATGAACGCGTCAGAATAATTCCTTCAACATCTTTCTTTTTTTTTTTTTGATATAAAATAATCAGCTGCTCTTACTTGAGGTTCAATCTCTGTTATATCCTGATCCAGTATTGGTAATGCTTGAGTATAAACTTTCGATAAGAGGCATTCCTGAAATAATTACCCAAAAAAAAAAAGGGCATTTTCTTAGATAAATGAGCAAAACAAAGAAAATAAAGGAGAACGTTTGCATACCTTTAAAAAGAATTGATGTAAATTAGTCAAGTGGTTTCGAGAAGGAGCAAATTTTATGATCGTATTTGCTAATGGTTTGAAAATGATTATACTCTAAATTAATGAGCACAATCAGCCATCAAATTCTTTCTGTAATCAAGAAATATTTTCATCAAGATAATGGGACTCTCGCCTCACATTTCCGTATTGAGTAGCCAACTTGCTAAGATCTTGCACAGTTGCTAATACTGTGATCAAAATTTTCTTTAGTATTTTCGTGATTGTTATCGAATCAACCATTCTGATACTTAACGTACATTTTTCAGGTGCAAGCTGCATTTGTTGTTGGTCAAATTTATCCAGAAATTCAAATATACGACCCAACAAGCGAGGGACGTCAGGTCTATCAACGCGACATCTCGCGTCACTAAAAATTAAGACATGATAAATTTTATATTTACACGGAAATCTATGACAAAGTATGGATCGAAAAACAAGATACTAACAGAAAATATGCATAAACCAGGCTATTACGAGTAGCATTCAAAAGATCTAGAGGATCTCTAGTATGTTCACCAGTGAAAAAAGAATTTGGCAGTTGCCTGAGTATGGGAAGTAATTGTTTCGTAACTTGGTCTAAAGAGGTTTCGGTGCTAGAAACCAAGTTAAGCAGATCCTCGATCGTGTTTGGAAGTTGTTGAGAAGGCATTATAACTTCTAATGCTGTAAAGACAAAGCTTGAACATCAATTTTGTCTTGGAAAATGACGTAACTCATACAAATTCAATTAAACAATAAGGGCCAAGTGAAACGCAGCCTGTGTCAACAAATACGCCAAAAATAGCACATCAGATGATTGAATGAAAAATATAAAAAAGTATATCTAACATATTTCTAAACAATAACGTTCTCTAAGAAAATAATTAAAATAATTTCGAAAGTAACCACGTAAAATCATGCCCGCACCACCACCACCGCCACCACCTACAGTCAGTAGCTCGTCGGGGAATAGTCGCAATGCTTTGCTAGCTGACATACAAAAAGGAAAGAGATTGAAGAAGGCCGTCACAAACGATAGATCTGCACCTATTATAGATGGTGTGTATTTAAGAATGTCTTGGTCAACATTTAACGTAGCTTGTCTGAATCAATACTAACTTTAATATTTATTTATTCATATAGCAAAAAAGGGTTCGGGAGGTACAATAGAGGCGAATAGGGGAAGGTCATCAAGTACGTCTGGACCCTCGAGGGGTGGAGGGAATATTGAAGCTCCAGTCGGTCTTGGTGGCTTATTTGCAGCTGGCGTTCCAAAACTTAAGAATAGGGGTGGAATTGAAACAGGCAGAGAGAATAATAATAATAATAATGGTACTTGTGTGATAGTTAGATTGAAAAAATGAATCATTTCGTTTAAGCCTATTTACTGAAACCCTTTAACTTTGACAGTGCCACCCACATTACCAAGTGCACGTCCAAGTGCTGCTGTTCGATCAACTAATACGCAACCACCCGCTTTACCGGGTAGAAATACAAAGGGTACTTCCCATAATAACAATAGCTCCTCCACACCACAAATACCGCAGCGACCAACCCCTGCTAATCCTGGAAGAGTTGTGCCGCCAATACCCGCTCAAAATGGATTAAACCCTCCTTTACCATCACGCACTAGGATTAATAATAATAGCTCACCACCACCATTACCAGGTCGAAATAATACACAATCATCGTCTCCAAAAGGGGTGAAACCTTCACCTATAGGCAAAAAACCTCCTCCCCCTCCTCCTCCTCGTCCATCCACCACTGTTGGCAACGTTAACAATAATAGCAACAATAATAATACTACTTCTAACAGTCGAAATTCACAACCTCTGCAAAAATCTCAGTCACCACGCCAAGTATTACCTACTAATACCATTGACAAACATCGACCACCAGCACCCGTTTTACCAACTAATGGAACACAAAACCTTCGAAAGACATCAGGCCAACAGAAAAATTCACAATGTATTGTTCATTTTTTTAAATACTGATTATCATAAAAGATTAATTCGACTTGCACTAATCACTTTGTTAAAAATAAAAAAAAGCTGTAGCATTTGCACCTCAAGAACCTCCAACAACAGAAGGACGATGGACTTTTCATCCTTCTTCTGACTTCCCTGCTCCTCGTACTTTTATTAACTCTGAAAAATTATATCCATCTGGTGCTTCTTCAGGAAGTTGTAAGTTAATAATTTATCTCGATCTTATTAAATTCAATAATACCATATATTAACTATATTTTAAATACAATAGCAATCCCATTAGATTTATCTTCACTATCCATAGCAGCAAATCCACAGCGTGCTCCGCCTCCACCACCGCCAGGTGTTGGGCGAATAAATGGTAGTAAAAGGTGAAAGTAGATTAACCAGAAGAGAAATCGAACTGTCTCAATCATCTATAATGGACTTTGTATTTTTATGCTTTAACATTAGAAAACTTTTCGTGTTAGGATTGGAATAATACTTATTAAAATTAAAATTTAATGTTTATCAGATTTATTTGATATATTAATTTATTTTACCAAACATCTAAGTAATAAAATTCATTATAAAATTTTATATATAGCTGCAAATCATCACATCTGATGCATGGATCTCTATAGTAATATATGATCTATCACCTGTAATTTATGTTCCGAAGAGCCTTTACTTTCTCAATGGAGGAAACAATACTTTTTCTAATGTTCCAAGATGACGAGAAAGATTATTTTGGTCGGGCCAGCCTTTGCCAAACTTTGCTGCATCCCATCTTCTTTCCTCATCAAATACTCCAAGCTTATTCAATAGTTGTGTCATCTTTTCCGGCATAATTGGTTGTAATAATATTCCAATAATACGTAATGACTCTAATGCATAATACAAAACGTTATTCAAACGTTCCGCTTGACCAGGGTCTTTTACTAATATCCATGGTTGATTATCTGAAATATATTTATTGGCCTATCGAAGAAAAAAATTAAGTAAAACAAAACTTAATAGACCTAAGCTAATATTGGAGAAAAATACCTCGGCCAAAGTGTTAGTAATCAAGTCGAGAGCTTTACGAAATTGAGCTTCGTCATAGCACTGGTCAATAAGATCTATAAGCGTATTAGGAGAATCTATCCGAAAAAAAATATAAATATGCATATATATTTCTCTTAATATTACCCGGCAATTCAATCAATTTTTGATGTAGGATTATATCTTCGCTAGTGCTTTTGGCTGGTTTTGGGGGTATATGCTGTGATGGGTTGACTGTTGCAGAAGTGCAACGTGATAACAGGTTTCCGAGTTGCCCTGCTAGTTCTTTTCGATATCGCTCTTGAATCCAATCTTCTGAATAGTCTAAAAGTTTTTAACAAACATAAATAATATATCCCATGTTCAAAAAATAGAATATTCGGAAATTACCGCCATCATCAGCTATGCCACCATCTCTCATCAGATAATATCGCATGGCGTCAACACCATATAAATCTAAAAGTTGAAATGGGTCTACGACGTTACCACGACTTTTGGACATTTTTTGTTTACCCATTGTCCAATGGGAATGTGCTAATATTTTTCGTGGCAAAGGAATATTCGCAGCAATTAAGAATGCAGGCCAATACAAAGCATGAAATCTATATATAAATTCTTGTTAGAAATTGTCACTGACATCAATAAGTTAAATACAACTCTAGATTAATCTGAAAAACCTTAAAATGTCTTTGCCAACAACGTGAAGGTCTGCAGGCCAACCATTAGATAGCATAGTGTCACGAGTATCATTTGACCAGGGAAAACCAGTCACAGTTAAATAGTTGATTAGAGCATCGAGCCAAACATATATTGTTTGCTCAGGGTCACCAGGGACAGATATTCCCCAGCCTACGCGTGAACTAGCTCGAGAGATAGACAAATCAGTCAATCCAGATTCTAGCCATCCTTTAACTTCATTTACTCGAAATTCTGGGACAATAACTATTAATTATCAACGATAATGTAAGAAAATAATTTATTAGAGAACAATTGATGTACGGGTAATTCAAAAACAACGCACCCGAAGGCTTTTCTTCGAGCCATTGTAAAATTTTATCGCGTAATATTGATAAACGAAATTTATAGTTTTCTTCTTTCATCCAAACTACTCGTTGCTCAGATTCAATTGACACCTCATAATAACAATAAATTAAATGAAAAATAGTTTATGGAATAGCATGGATGGTTTATTAGTCTATACCATATAGTTTTCGCCTGAACTTGGATCCGTAAAGGCTCTGATCTGACTCTCGGGGTAAAAAGCCTCGTCAGATACGGAATACCATCCTTCATGTACATCCTTATATATATATTGACCAGCAACTAAACGATCCTAGAAAGTCTGTGAATTATGAATTTCTATATAAAGTGTCCCAAGTTATTACTTTGCAGAATTTTACGCACCCAAAAAACTTGAACAGCTTCTTTATGTCTTTCATCGGTTGTTCTAATAAATTTTGAATAACTTATGTTTGCTCTATTGAATAAATCCTTTTTTTAAAAAGAAAGTGAGCATCAAATTATCATAACTTTTACTAAATGCAATCAATTGCAAGCATATTTAAAGATGACCCGCCTTGAATTTTTGTGACACCTCATCACAAAATTCCTGGGGACTCTTTCGATTTGCTGACGCGGCTTGCTGTATCTATAATTGATTATCAATATCATTCTATATTAATTTATTTACATAGTCAAACCTTGATATAATGAGTGACCGAGTTATAATAAAAAGTTTGAAAATTAAAAATTATATTTATTGAGGTAGTTTTACTATAACTGTACTCCAGTTCATCCCGTACTTCGTTATATCATATTCGTTATATCGAGATTTGACTTTAGTTCTTTTGATTATCTAACATTTAGAATCAAACCTTCAAACCATGTTCATCGGTCCCAGTACTTAGTATAACATTATGCCCTTTTAATTCGTGATATCTTTTAATACTATCAGCTAATACAACTGAATATAAATGACCAATATGTGGTTCTATTTTAATATAAGTCATAATGTTAAACATGTTTCAGTATGTAACAAAATAATATATTATATACAGCTTGCATACTAGCGTTGACATAAAAAATAGGGGTACTAATGTATGTGGGCTTCTCGGGCAACTTGGTTGTAAATTTTCGCGTTTGCCCAATACACCAATTAGTTTTTCGGGTTATTATTGTATATACTTTTTTGACACCCATAATAAGTTTAAGAAAGCTAAAATTCTAGTGACTTTAAATTGTGACACAGTTAAACCTCCAAGTCGAACTATTTCGGGTATGGCTCGCCAAGAATTTCTTAGATTTGTGCAACCAAATTTATAAGAGACTTCGCCGAGAGTGGAATTGATTTAGAAAACTGTTTTACAATTACAAATAAAAGCTAAACTATTCTGACATATACAAAACGAAATGCAAACACGTCGCAAATGAATTTTCAATTTTTGCATAATAAAGAAAATGCTAAAGCTTTTTGCTTGGGGCAACAGACACTGCAACCTTTAGAAAGATGTCAAATAGAACATTTTAAAAAACTTATTTTTATTAGAACAAAGTCATTATTTAATTTAATAATAATAATAATAATATCAGTAGCATTTTTTAATATAGCAAAAGTCGTTGGACAGCCTCCCTCAACTATACCTATATACGATCAAAACATATTAAGTGGAAATCTTACAGCTGGACCAAATTCAAGCGGTGCATTTTATTTTTTTAATCTCAAGAACACTACGGACCGCACAGGCGGTCTAAAAAATGTATTTGCCCGAGCTTTTAACAAAACTTCCCCTCAAAAGTCGAATACTCCCGCCGCGGTTTCTGTAACCTCTTCAACTTTTACATCGTCTACAAGCTTAAAGAAATCAAGCTCACCTGATAATATACAACAGGGAATTGCTCCACAATTCTTAAATATTTCTGTGATAATATGCACAACTCCGAAAAACGTTACATCAGCAAACATTCCACAACTAAATATATATGTTTCTGATACTGTGCCATTACCAGGACCTAATAGTAATGTGCAAAAATTTCAAACGTCAGAAGGATTGGTTGTAATATCTTGGCCATACAATAGTAATACAAATGGGGTCTATATAGGGATTTATGCCCCCTCTTCCGTCATTGGCACTTTTAATTTTGAAATTGGAACATCATTACATGGTAATCTTCTGAAATACTTTCGATTTATCAAGCTATCCTGTTAATCTATTGTATTTTTTGCAGAATCTATGCATAATTACGATGATGAAAACTCTGGAATATATTTGGAAGATACAGACGATAGTCATGCTCTAGTCACCACAATAAATGCGATAAACAACGCTAATTCATATGATGTATATATTGTGCCTGAAAATGCTACGAATGGTCTTTCGCACTCTTTTTGTGCTTTAAGTGAAATTTCTTCTCAAGTTCAAAATGTCACAGTAAACTATAATACTACCACTACTC